TAGATAGATAGATAGATAGATAGATAGATAGATAGATAGATAGATAGATAGATAGATAGATAGATAGATAGATAGATAGATAGATAGATAGATAGATAGATAGATAGATAGATAGGCCAATTTTGAGGTCTAGGCAGGACCAGTCCTTAGGCAGAATGGCATCTGTGTCATCAGATGGTTAGCACTGTTCTATGTTATTCTTTTAAAATGAGCAAAACTACTTGTTTTGAGGTTTTATTTTAGTCCCCCCCCCCCCGGTGTGCTCAGAATTAACTGGGCTTGCTTCTAACACCGTGGACCTTGTCTAACATTAATGGTGAGGATTAGTGCATTACACTCGTGGGCTGGTCGAAAAATTTAACAGATAAATAAATAAGTTTTCTGCCTTGGGCAAGGGGGGGAAAAAAGGCTTGGGCCAGCCAGGCATGGTTTTGGCTTGAATTAGGCCCACTCCAGACCTAAGGTTTGCTTGTGGCTCTTGTTAAACTGAGTGTCTGGCAGTTCTCTTCCTCTTACGTACGTTTCATTGTGGGGTTTTATTTTACCGGTTTTTGATATATATATTTTTGGAAGGGGGACAGGTTACATATATGTGCGTGTTTTGGGAGAGGAATATATTGTGAACGGTCCCGAGTTCTGTGGCAAGGAGGCCGTTAAAAGGATTTAAACGAACTACAGAGGCCTTCTCCCCTAGCGGGATGGAGGATGGAGGGTTGCCATGGCAACAAGGAGGCATTAGATGTCTGAACTGCTGCCATAGCAACAGTGCAAGAGGTAGTTTAGGGCTGTCGCCATGGTAACTCTGGGGGCTGTGAAGGGTCAGGACCATTGCCGTAGAAACCAGGAAACACTAGAGGTGTTTACCGGGCCGGATCCTTGAAGGGGAAGGAAAAAAAAAAGCCTCAGGATGGGCAATAAACCCTTCAGAGGTCAGGGAGAGTCAAGATGGCGGCAACCGGAGGCTGCCAGGCCCTCCGAAGGGCAGGATGCCAAGAGGCAAGCGAAAAGCAAAAAAAGGGAGGGATATTCTGTGTCAATGAGCCTCTGAGCATGTAGAAAGTGCCTTGCGCCTCCCTTTTTCAGACGTTTTGCCTCAAAAAATGCAGTCCTAAATCTCCTTCCCCAAAGGCGTTCGCACTGTGTTGAACTAAGCGGGCCCTATTTTTTTTTGTGAGCCGACGTTATTTATTTATTTTATTTTATTTATATCCCGCCTATCTGGTCGGTTAAGACCACTCTAGGCGGCTAACAGCATAAAATAGTATATAAAAAAAAATTTAAATAGAAGAAACCTTAGGAGAGGGAGGAAACAATAGGAGATGCACACACATATATATATTTTTTGCACCACCAAGTCTTAAGCAACCTCCATTTTGACGTGTCCCGTTACGTGGCTGCGGAAATCTTTGGCCTAGCAAATGCTTGAGATCATCATCCTCACATCCCCCCCCCCCACACTTTTGCTCAGGATGATAGCTCTTCTGCTGGGAGAGCTAAAGATCCCTCACCTGTGGGAAGACTATCCTTCCATCATCCCCATCCACCACTTTTTTTTCCCTTCCTCTGCGGTTCCCCTCCTGTCAAATTTCAATTTTTTTACAGTAAGCTTTCATTAGCAGAGACCTTCTGTCCTTGAAAGCACCGGGGGGGATACTATATCTTTAAATATTTTGGTTTTTCAAAGAAAGCTTAGAGAGATAAATCATAAAAATGAACACGGTGGTGGTTGTTTTTATGTTGTGCCTCCTGCCGCCGCGGTGTAGTCATTTGTGCTGGTTTAGGATCTAGGAGGTCTGGGTTCGGATTCAGCTCCACCATGAAGCGCGCCGAGTGAGGAGGAATTTGGGCCGGCCACTGTCCCTCAACCCAGCCTCAGGGTGGTTGCAAAAAAAAACAAACAAACAGGAAAGTGGGACGTATATAGTACCTTGAGCAATTCAAAGGAAAGACAGGATAGGAAAGTGATATATAAAGAAACACGGAAAAAAAAAGTTCATTGTTTTAAAAGTGGGGGAATGGGAGGATGGTGATCTGATGAAATTTTAATTTTTACAGTGAGCTTTCAGTAACACAGACCTGTTATCCTATTCTTGAAAGCACTGGGAGATACCGTATCTTTTATTATTTTGGTTTTAAAAGAACGCTTAGAGACAAATGATAAAAATGAACACGGATGTTGTTGTTATGCGATTGTTCCTTCCACTGCAAAGAAACAGGGAGGTGGGATGTATAGAGTACCTTGAGCAGTTCAGAGGAAAGACGGGATAGGAAAGTGACATATGAAGAAACAAGGTAGGGAAAAGGATTTCTTGCGGAGCCGGTCTCCTCTCGTTTTAGGAGCTTAATCTTGGGAACGGATCGTTTATTGTGCAACCTGTTTTGTTACAGGATGGTGTTAGAAGGCAGTCCGGAAGCTGTCACTTCCCAATCGATCGATCTCCGGCGAGCTTGTCCCAAAAGTGGACGCATTTATCCTTCCCCCGAGGACAGCATCTTGTTGACCAAGGAGCCAGTGAAGTATGGGGAGCTGATTGTGCTGGGGTAAGTGAGAATTAAGTGCCAAATGGCTTGCTGAACATCCAGGCTAGGGTTTCGGATGTCTACGCTCAGAACATTGAATGATAAGGAGATGCCGAGCCTGAGCATGCGCAGAGTGCCTGTCTCTCCTTGTTAGGGGAACACACACACACATACACACATGTTGACTGGAAATGGATTTCAGGTCAAGAAGCAGGGCTGAGCCCTCCTGAATTTTTTTTTCTTTTTCAAAAACATTCAATGTTTTTGGTCTTAGGCAAAAGTCAGGGGCCAATGCACTCCTTTCTAATGAATGCAATTCGTCAAGCCATCTGGTCTAAGCCTATTTTAAAGGTGACAAACGGCAGGAAAGCAGAGTAATACATGTTTTGAGGTTGTCCACTGGCGGCTAGCGGGGCTGGGCTGCCCCGGGGGTTTTGCCCCACAGCACCCACATTTAGGGGGTGCTGACATCTAAATGTGAATCTACTAGGGAGTATTCTGAAAATGAGCCATATTCCCCACCCTTATGAGATGGATTATATATTTCTTTTACAATTTTGGACCTTCTCTGTCAGTTGGTGCTGATATAAATTCCAGCAGGTCATTTTCCTAGCAACAGATACCTTATTTTTGTCTGTTTCTGGGGAAGTGATGCTTTTCCTTATTTGAAGCTATAACATCATGAGCTACTGTACCGAGACAATGCCAACCCTCTAGGACTTGCACAAATAATATTGTTTTTTAATGATTTGGAATGTCATGGCAGTATGAGATAGCCCAGATCTAAGGGGCTAACTCACTTTTGTTTAGACATTTGTAGAAGCAAAAATCTCTGGCTTTGCATTGGATTGGTAAGGAATTCTGATAACACGAGGCAGCAGCCAGAAAAACAAACACCCACCATGCTGGACCAACCCATCATACTTCACCCAGTCCTAAATTATAGAGCGATGATGGAACACATTTTTGTGTGCAAGTACAGTGGTGTCTCGCTTAACGAGCACACCGTTTAACAATGAATCTGCATAGTGATGTGTTTTTTGCGATCGCTAATGCGATCGCATTGCGATGTTTTAATAGGCAAAACATCGCATTGCGGTGATCGGTAAGCGTTTCGCTTACCGATCTTCACATTGTGATGTTTTGGGAACAACTGATCGGCGTTTCCAGAATGGCCGCCGGGTCAACAAAATGGCCACCCACAGCGTTTTCGCGCCCTGCCCTCACTTACGGGGCAGCGAAAATGGTGGCCGGATGGAGGATTCCCCGCATAGCGGTGAGTTTTTCCCCAATAGGAGCGCATTAAACAGAGTTTAATGCATTCCTATGAGGTTTTCCCCCCCGCATAGCGACAAATCCGGATAGCGACATTAATCCTGGAACGGATTAACTTCGCTATGCGGGGCACCACTGTACTGTGAGTGCCATTTGTGTTTGCCATCCATCTTATTTATTTATCTAAAATATTTATCCCTTACCTTTCTCCTCAGGGAAACCCAACATGGCTTAGGATGTTAAAACAAACAATATTAAATACCTTTTTAAAATGTGCTTTAAAATAACTCAGCAGCCCTGTTTCTTCCTGTACTCAGAATTCTTTATGTCTAAGAATATGTCTTTTGCCCCAAGTCTGAGCTCAGCCACACATTTTTCCAACAAGCTGAAGATTATTTTGGACCATAATACTTCCCTCTCACAAGCTTTGGGTTAGAAACCTGAGTTTGCTTACAGACTGTTCCCCAATCTTAAACCATTACTGACCAAAACCCTGTTGCCTAGCATAGTAAATTGCATTAGAGCAGGGATTTCATCAATCAGTTTAACCAATTGGGATTTAACGAGCCAACTCCTCCATAAATCCTGGTAATTCAAATAGGTCTACTCCAACTTTACTCTTAATTTAGCATAGTCTGCTGCTGTTAGAGGAGGTCTGTTTGAATCAACAGCACTTGTTTGTTGAGGAGTTGACGCTTTAAATCCTCACTGAGTCATTGGATCTACTCTAGTGCAATTTACTGTGTTAAGCAACAGAGTGATGGCCAGTGACACATACAGAGATAAGAGCAAGACCCTTTGCTACAAACTGTGCCCTCATATCTACTCTGGCAGTACCACTACATTTCCCGGCAATGTCACCCACAGTATTGGGCTCCATCACTTATTTATGTGGTATATGGTGTATTTTGCCAGCTATGCGCCTCTGCATTATGCATAGGACAGAACAGGATGAGCATGTCTGATCATTTCAAATGCTCCCCCCATAACCCTATCACCGATCTTAAAGTGGCTAGTCTAAAAAGTTAAAAGAAAATAAAAAGGACCTAACAAAGAGATATTTGAGATGGTAACAGCTGAAGCTGGTTACGCGCATAAATTTCAGGATGTATTTAGAGGCTGGGGCTTTTTTTTTTTTTAACACACTATGTATAAAAATAAAATCCTATTTTCTCTACAGTGTTAGCCATAGTCAGATTCTTTGGCAAAACTCAAGCTGCGGCATAACCAGCTGTTTCTTAAAAGCAAAAGTTATTGTGCAAGATATAACCGAATGGTTATGTATCGGCTGACAATTTATATCAATTAATTATTCCGTCTATTGCCAGAATGGTTCTGTAAGCAATACTTTGGAAGCTTGTAACCTGTATCAATATTGTAAGGCTATTATCACTTTGAAAATTCATTAGCTGTGCCTGTATTCTGTTTTGCTCAGTCCCAACCCTCAATGATCACTACACTATTTTAACGTGGTCTAAATATTGCACTCTACATATCAGAGGTGATTGCAATTTCAAAAGCTCTCACTAATATAGATCTCTCAGGCTTAAATGTGCTACAGTACTTTGGTTTGGTTTGGCTTTTTTTAATGCATGGCTTTGACTGCCAGCTCTTGTGGGTCTAATGATGATGGTAATAATCATCTTAGAACTGCAGAGCTGGAAAGGACCCTATGGATCATGGAGTCCAGCTCGTGTCAAGGAGTAACAAAGACAGCTTGCCCTTCTTTTTAGTACAGTGGTGCCCTGCATAGCGACGTTAATCCATTCCAGGATTAATGTCGCTATCCGGATTTGTCGCTATGCGGGGGGGAAAACCTCATAGGAATGCATTAAACTCTGTTTAATGCGTTCCTATAGGGGAAAAACTCACCGGTAAGCGAAGATTCCCGCATCCGGCCGCCATTTTCACGGCCCGATAAGCGAGGGCAGGGCACGAAAACGCTGTGGGTGGCCATTTTGCTGATCCAGCGGCCATTTTGGAACCACCAATCAGCTGTTTTCTAAACATCGCAATGCGAAGATCGGTAAGTGAAATGCTTACCGATCATCGCAATGCGATGTTTAGCCTATCTAAACATCGCAATGCGATCGCATTAGCGATCGCAGAAAACATGTCGCTATGCGGATTCGTCGTTAAACTGTGCACTCGTTATGCGAGGCAGCACTGTATTAAAAAAAGGAAAGGTAGGGGTGGAATTATGAGCTCCGTGTTGGGCTGATGAGATATTCACTTCAGTTCTGTCTTGGATAGAAAAGTAACACCTGACCATTACATACACAGGTACAATGGCTCGTTACCCAACGGTGACAAGGGCCGACGCCGCAGCCGGCTGGCCCTGTACAAGAGGCCCAAGGCCAATGGAGTCAAACCAGATGTCATCCACCACATCTCCACACCGCTTGTGTCGAAGGTGAGTCCCAACCCTCTTGCCCGTCTACCCAAAAGCTGCCTCTGCTCATCAGGCCCTATTCGGTGCTCTGGAAAAATGTGATTCCGAGCATGTGCTGAGCACACTTTGGTTCCATATTATTTGGGACCCACAGGTCTGAACCTTCCCAAGGTAGACCACATAAGAACGTCCCAATCTTGGGCATCTAAGAATCCTGTGAAAAGACTCTGACTTGAATCCATGAGAACTCCATCAGTAAAGACTATAATAAGCCAGTTGGGCCGGTGGTGTGAGTTTGCAGAAGATAAGGTTTCTGTGGCTGCCCATCCAGTAACTTTTCTTTAAACCCATCAACTATTACCCTTTCTGTGTGTAGGCATTCTTCAGTCTCGAGAGACTGTGGTAGTGTGCTCTGTATGGAGGACTTGGCACAGCGTGTAGTGTGGCTGAGAAGGCCAATCCGAGAGGGACCGTCCCTTCCACACTGAAGACAAACACAGTCTGTCCCCTGTCCAGCTCCCTGATTTTGTTGCTTTCGGGACTGCCTCTTTGCCTCAGCCTGCTGGACAAGGGTCTCTTCAAATTGGGAGAGGCCGTGATGCACCGCCTGCCTCCAGGCTGAACGCTCAGAGGTCAAGGTTTCCCATCTGTTGAGGTCCATTCCTAAGGCCTTCAGATCCTGCTTGCAGATATCCTTGTATCGCAGCTGTGGTCTCCCTCTGGGGCGATTTCCCTGCACTCGTTCTCCATACAGGAGATCCTTTGGAATCCGACCATCAGCCAAAGAGTACCCTTTCTATCTTAAGCCAATTCAGTGCAAGGCAGCCTTGTGTGTTCCTAGGGACCTTTGACTTTAAGGAATCGGGTACAGAGCGCTTACCTTTAGAACGGACGCTGAATCGAAAACTAAGAGTGGGAGGGAAGTGGGTTATCTCAGTGGCTTAATGGGTGGCGTGGGCCCGCCGGTGAATAGAAAGGTTTATGGCCATTTCTTTTATTCCTTCTGCCCAACAGGCACTGAGCAACAACTGCCAGCACAGTATCTCTTATACACTTTCCCGGAGCCACTCGGTCATTGTGGAGTACACGCACGACAGTGAGACCGACATGTTCCAGGTACCTCTTGTGTAGGCTGACCCGTGAGCAGAATTTCAGCATGGGCATGTTTTTCAATCCAGCATCCTTCAGAGGAATGAATGCATTTATTTATTTATTACGGTCAGGTGACCAGCTCATAAAACATATTTACGGCTACAAAATGCAGTTTACAAATACACAAACAATTCATAAAACATATTACGTGGCTAAAACATACAAAATGCAGTTTTAAAATGTAGAGTCAGTTCATAAAACATATGATGCACTATAAGATATTCCTTCACATGTGTGCCCTTGCAACCCCCATCGTCACCTACCCGACATGACTAAGGGGGCGGGGATCATTGGATTCGTAGTCCACACATGAGGACCCTGTTATGGTGGAAGCTGCCAGCGTGAATAGAAGGGATGAGAACCCTATTATGGATAATAATAATAAAAAAGGTCGGATAATCCTGTAAGGCACATCTTGTGCTAGTAAGGAAATAAGTTGCTTGAATTTCCTCTGAAACACACACGCACACCCAGTGTGAGGGTCACTGCAGCCTTCCCCACTGTACTAAGATGTGGACTCAGCATGCTCTGTGCCTGCGGTCTGGCAGGGGGAGAGTAACAGTGGTGCCTCGCTTAGCGATGTTAATTCGTTCCAAAAAATCGCTGCTAAGCGATTTCATCGCTAAGCGAAAGGCGGTTTCCCATTGAAATGCATTGAAAACTGGATAATCCGTTCCAATAGGAACGAATTGCCGTCCTTAAGCGAAAATCACCATAGGAAACATCACTAAGCGAAACGTTGTTCCCCAATTGAAATGCATTGAAACCTATTCAATGCATCTCAATGGGGGAAAAATACTACAACAAATTAAAAAAGAGCCAGAACAAAGTCAAATTTGGTTAGCAAAGGGTTTATTAAGTACACTTTATGATTTCAAACATTTTAAACAGTAAACTTTAACTTTATAAATAACAGAAAAACATTTAAAAAACAGCAAACATGAGGCTGTTTAAACCATCGTTAAGCGAAACAGGGGACCCAAAATTTAATCGCTATGCGAAGCATGGTCCCAACCATCGCTAAACGAAAATCGCCCATAGGGACCATCGCTAAACGAAGCGCAAAAACACTCCCAAAAAGTCATCGCTAAGTGATTTCGTTGCTAAACGGAGCGCCTGTTAAGCGAGGCACCGCTTTGTAGAAGGTTGGTTGGGGATGAAAATGGAGCTGGTTGATGGTGGAAAGGACGCCCTCCGTGGGTGGGGGACTCCCCCTCTTTCGGACGGAGTCTTGAGGGCCGCTTGCCAAGGATGACTGAGCCCTTGAGAGTTTCCTGCTTCAGTCGGAGGCTGGACAACTAGAGGACTCCTTGAGGTTCCTTCCAGCTCCATAACTATGATTCTATGCAGTTTCCAGGATCAGACCTTGGATGGGCTTGCTGGAAGCACGTCCGGGAGGTTCTGGTTGTGTAGCCAGCTCGTTGTTATTCCTATCAGTCTCTGAACCTGGAAGGACAGAAAAGGAAGAGGTGCTGATGCCAGATACTTCTACCTTGAAACTGGAACAGTGCTGAAATAATTTCAAGTTATGTCTTAGATATAGCCACAGGATCCTGTTTTGGTTCTCATGCCAGTCATTCATTCCACGACACTGCCAAGATGACCCAGGAAAACCCCTTTCTATGGCTCTGGGGTTTGACGTACAAATCAAACCCGGGATGACTCTCTTATCTAGATGGGATGGGACAAACCTGATCCCCAGCCTTTGCTCCCCAAATAGTGTTCGGCAACTTCTCAGAATCCCTGCTCACTGCCCATCTTCATAGAGGAAACTGCTGAGTTCAGCAGTATCTGGAGACTCGAGTTTAGGAACCGTTAGCATGGACTTCGACCAGCAGAACCTTCCCCACATTACTACAAAGTTGTAGAGCAGATCTGGCCTTCCTCAGTGACCATGTATATTCAGGGGGTGCGGACAAACATTCAGTGTCTGTCTAGGTCTGTCTGTCTGTCTTCATTCCTCCTGGTCCATGTCCTTTATCCCCAGATCGGTCGCTCCACAGAAAGTATGATCGATTTCGTGGTGACGGACACGACCCCGGGGTCCAACTCAGCCGTAGACGGCCAGTCGGCTCAGAGCACCATCTCCCGCTTTGCCTGCCGGGTCATCTGCGAGAGGAACCCCCCCTACACGGCGCGCATTTACGCTGCTGGCTTTGACGCCTCGCGCAACATTTTCCTTGGAGTGAGTGAGTCACCAGAGCAGTTTCGTGTGTTTCTTCCTACCTCCGTTGGTCCGTAGATACTTGTGTGTTGCACTGTTCGGATAGACAATGCATCGAAGGAGGCTTATAAGGGGAACATTTCCACATTTATCCTGTTCAGAATCGCCAGAATGTGAGAATAAACAATTTGGTGCATGGGAGAACATACGTAAACCTGAGAAAAACGCTCATTGCGGCGGAAAGATTCTGTGTTTAAGTTTTAAAAATCTGGATTTCAATCCCTAGGTATTCAGCCATTGTGGCAACAAGTTATGGTTGCCGCCTCTGTTTTTCCAAAAGGCTCCTCGTGTATGATGTATCTTGGGTGGCCAACAGGATAATCATCCTGCTAGGAATCGACGTAGCCGCTGAATTTGGCCAGGGCAGATGGGCGAAAAATTCACTGCAGTGGATCGTTGTGTTCTGTCATGCTTTTTTTTACACGATTCCCACCATCCCTCCTCAGTTTTCAGGGTCGGGCTGATGGGAAATGTAGGCCAAAGACCCCTTTGTGTAGAATGACCCCACTGGCCTATAGGTTGGCAAGGAGGGAGACCACGGTCCGCCCCACCCTCCCCCTGGCCCAAGCGGTGCTGTGATGCCCCCGTCTCCGGTTTCATTGGCAGGAGAGGGCAGCGAAGTGGAGGACTCCGGACGGACTGATGGACGGGCTGACCACCAACGGCGTCCTGGTGATGCACCCCAACGGCGGCTTCAGCGAGGACTCCACGCCAGGCGTGTGGCGCGAGATCTCGGTGTGCGGGAACGTCTACGCGCTGCGCGACAGCCGCTCGGCACAGCAGCGGGGGAAGCTGGTAGGTTTGGGGGGGGGTTGAGGTTCAAGAGTAAGCCCTACACCACTGTAAGCCTTTCCCGCAGCTCCACGGAGGAAGGCTGTACAGAGGCTGTAGAGGGAGGGGTTCTCGGAGGCCTCTCTCCTCCTTGCGCCGACACGGCTGCTCTTTCTCTCCTCCGTACCAGGTGGAGTCGGAGTCGAACGTGCTGCAGGACGGCTCCTTGATCGACCTGTGTGGGGCCACCCTCTTGTGGCGGACCTCGGAGGGCCTCCTGCGCACCCCCACCCTGCACCAGCTGGAGGCGCTGCGGCAGGAGATCAACGCCGCCCGCCCGCAGTGCCCGGTGGGCTTCAGCACCCTGGCCTTCCCCAGCCTGGCCCAGCGCGGGGTGGTGGAGAAGCAGCAGCCGTGGGTGTACGTCAACTGCGGCCACGTCCACGGCTTCCACAACTGGGGCTTCCGCAAGGAGAAGGGGGGCGTGGAGCGGGAGTGCCCCATGTGCCGGCGCTCGGGGCCCTATGTGCCTCTCTGGATGGGCTGCGAGGCGGGCCTCTACCTGGACGCCGGGCGCCCCACCCACGCCTTCTGCCCCTGCGGCCACGTCTGCTCCGCCAAGACTGTGCAGTACTGGGCCCAGATCCCGCTGCCCCACGGCACCCACGCCTTCCACGCGGCCTGCCCGTTCTGCGGCACCTGGCTCACCGGCCAACAGGGCT